GACATTTTCTTGTTACTAGCAAGAATTTGTGTCTAGAGAGTGCCTGTCTGCTAGACTCTGCTGGTTCAAAATTTGTCAGCACTTTGTACAACATTGCAGAACTTTTTTAATGGTTAGAACTCACATATTTATTCTCAGCAGAACACCCTCCCCCCCCCCCCAAATAGCTTTGGTTAAGCTGTCTTCACCTATGCCTACAGTGATTCGGGAGTAAAACTTGTGAGTCTCCAGACATTGGACTAGAATTCATATAATCCATCGTGGCTGGGACTGCTGGAGCTGATGTCCAACAATACCTGGAGTGATACCTCTTCCCCATCCCTGCTCTCACTCTACAGTATTCAGGCAGGTCCAGGAGACAATGGCACTTAAATTAGTCTTCCTCAACTTGTAGTCTTGCAGTTATTTTGGATTTTTACTGGGAAGGACAAGACTGGAATTCTTGTTGGGAATGATAAGACTGGAAATCCAACATACTGTATTTGGAAGCCACCAGGTTGGAGAAGGCTGCCCATTTTTCCTATATTTCCTAGCCCTAAATTCAGGAAATGTGTTCTAAACTGTATATTTTTAGATGATAAAGTTTTGCATTATGTGTCTTTGTTCTCCTCCCTAGATCTTTGCACAATGCCAGTAACCCGCTCAAAATCAGTGGGCAACACCAGTGCCCTGACTTCTCCCTTGGGCATTGTCCGCCTGCTGGAAGCCCTTTTCACCTGTGTGGCCTTCAGCTTGGTGGTTCACCGGAATGCCTGGTATGGCCGCAATGGGGACTGGTGCATGTTCTCATGGTGTGTCTGTTTTGCCATCACTATTGCCATCTTGGTGGTCGAGTTTGCTGGCCTTCAGCATCGCATGCCAGTCTCTTGGAAGAACTTCCCCATTACTTTTGCCATGTATGCCACACTGATGTGTCTCTCTGCTTCCATCATCTACCCGGTATCCTTCATTCAGAATCAGAACCTTCCTCGTGAGGAACGTGGATACCGCATTTCTGCCACTGTGTTTTCTTGTCTGGCCTTTCTAGCTTACCTCACCGAGGTCAGCTTAACCAAAGCTAAGCCAGGAGAAGTTACCGGCTACATGGCGACTGTCCCAGGATTGCTGAAGGTGGTGGAGACTTTTATTGCCTGCATCATCTTTGTCTTCATAAGTGACCCAGTTTCGTATGACCACCCGGAAGCTCTTCAGTGGTGTATGGCGGTCTACTGCATCTGTTTCATCCTCTCACTTGTGGTGATTATTCTCTGCATTGGCGAATGCACCGGCTGGTTGCCATGTCCATTCAACAAATTCCTCAGTGGCTACACTTTCTTGGCTGTGCTCATGTATGCCACCGCCACAATTATTTGGCCAATCTACAAGTTTGACAGAAAACATGGGGGAGAGCCCTCTCGGTCCCACGACTGTGGAAGAGGCAACCTCTGTCGGTGGGACAAGCTTGTTACCATAGCTGTTCTGACCGCTATCAATCTTCTGATGTACCTGGCAGATCTGGTGTATTCTGCACGGCTGATATTCATCCAGGGATAGACAGTGGCTGGCAGCAAGGAGGATCTGGGCAGCAGTGGTCCAAAAGGAAGGGAGAAGAAAGTGGAAAGAGGAGGAGTCATGCTTCTCTCTCTCGCTTTTATTTGTTCCTTTCTTCTGTCTCTCTCCTCTGCCTGCAATCCCAGACTAATTCATTCTCTTTCTCTCTCTGCATTCTCGCTCTCTAGCCTTCTCAGTTGCCTTGTTTCCTACCCAGGTTCATGCTCTGTGCTTGCCACACAATATTCTTTTGTCCTCTCCATCCTGAGCCCATTGCACGCAACGGCCAGGCAATAATTTGTCATATGCAGAGCTTGAGATAGTTCACAAATGCTTCTGCATAATCATCTTTGGCTCTTCCCATGTATATAACTTCACCAGTGTAATTGGCTGGGAGCTTCATGATCCAAGGCTTAGTGCTATCAAAAGTGGTAGTGATTGGAGTTGCAGCTGTCAGTCGAGGAAAGAAAGCAGAAAGAGGGGCGCACACTATCATCGATGAGGAGAATGCAGTGGGATTCATTTGTTACACTCCAGGATATTCCCCTGAGGGTACACTTCCTGACATTTTCTTGTTACTTAGCTCGCACAATGCTTTCCATTCCCTGCCTTTGCCACCATGGCTACACTTTATCCAGACTACTAACTTCTTGCATTTCTGTGTGGGTAGAATATGAAGCGTTCATTCAGAGGTGTGTTCCAACAACTCCTGTCAGCCACCCGTTTTCTCAGAGGAGAGTCTGCAGCAAATACCAGAACTTTGCTAGCAGAAAAGAAGAATTCAGAGCATTCTCCTTGATGTACATATTTTATTTGGCATTTAAAAAATTATTCCTCTACAGTATTTAGTGCCTTAAAAGTATCGGGCTCCTTTTTTGTCATCTTGCAAAAGAACTCCTTTGCTTTTGCCAAATGTACTTGCTGTTTTCCATTATGAATATATTCTTTGGAAAGGTAGATGTTTACAGTAGAGCCATTGGCTGCCTGCGTTTTCCATTGGAATGAATGGGGACTGCTCAGGAGCAGTGCTAGACGGCTAGCTTACTTTGCACCTCTGTGGAGGGTTTATTCTCCATGGTTGCTTGGGGAGAAATTAACTGTAATGTCTTCACATCTGGCTACAAACCTGCAGCCAAAAGCCACGCAAGTCCTGCATAATTATTTATGCGGGAGTTGTTGAGGCTTGCAGGAACTTAAATCTAATAAGGGCAGTTCCCTTTTTTGCTTTCAGAATTCAACAAAATAAATTATATTTTGGGGACGTTACAAGGAACATTTTTTGATTTGGGGACATTAAAGCCAATTATCTGTGACTGGCAGGCTGAAAGATAGCACCTGCAATGGAGCAACATTTTAAGTAAGGGTTATAAATCTTTGCCTGCAACTTAAAAAACCACAACAATGTTTTACAGAAAGGGAGTATGAATTGTTTTTCTTTATATTTAATTTTTTTTTTAATGTAAGACGTCCTCTGATTTTTTTATACTAAAAAAAGCATAGTAAAAAAAAAATACATGCTTTGCAAAGTATTAAATACATAACTTTTGGCTTTTTTTTATAGTTGCTACTCCATTATTTTTTAAAAAAATATTCCAAGCACTTGGTATTAGACAATACTGCTTTCCCAGTTTGCATTTCAAACAAACATCAGTCTTTTCCCATCAGGTCAGCAATAGGAAGTTATCTGTATGTATTTCTACTACATTTACCATTTTATTTTGCCTTTTTAAAAAAATAATTGGAAACATCATGCAGCATAGGCAGAAATGTCAGCTTCCTCCCTGCGTCAGTTAGCTGCAGCTTCATCTACGATGTTTTTTGTGAGTATTTTTTAAAGTATGCAAATCAGTATATGTGTATAAAATAAAGGAGCAATGTTACAATGGAGTGTGGCAATCCTATTTCTCTCATTTCACAACAAAAATTGGTACATTTGGATCCCGAAAGGTTGAATAGCTGCAGTAGAAATGGGCCTTTTTTTCTGAATTAAGGGCACTTCAACAAATGGATTTTTGCACCAGTTTGAAAGCAGCTGCAGATTTCTATGATCCTCCAATGTTGGATTGTTGTTAGAGAGCTGAGCTGATTTATTTTTGGCTTAGCTGTTTAAAACTTCAGTAAAAGTAGTCTTTTCATCTCCTTTTTCTCTTCTTCTTTTTTTTTTTGAAATACCGAACTTACAGAAACTTATAGGCAGCCCCTTTATATATTTATTTGCGAGATTCTTAGACCGCCACGCAACTGGATGGGTTACAAAGAATAAAACATCAATAATATAATAAAAATACTCATAATAATCTTAAAAGAGGAGCACATAAACAGTTCTCAAAGCACTATAGAAAAAGTTCCTTGGAAGATTTTTTAACTTGCTTCCAGAAGGTCCATAATGTCAGGATAAGCCTAATTCCAATCTATGTCATCTTCAATCTACAGTGTTTTTCAAACTTGGCAATTTTAAGATTGGTGGACTTGAACTCCCAGAATTCCCCAGCTAGCTGTACCCTAACTAGCAAATTATAGGTCTGGTACTGACTTGCAGTCTGAGACTTCAGGGTCATAAGGGATCTCTCCCCTGCCTCCCTCCACACTTTTTTTTTTTTTTTTTTACTATCCAGGCTCAGAAATGCCTGATCACTGAATCTCACTATAATTTCAATTTCCTGCAAGGCCACCCACTCCTAGGTCTGTTGGATCTGAGCTGCAAAATTCTGAACGATCATCAGGTGGCAGCAAAGAGACAGACCATTTGCAGTCTATATCACCCCCTAGTGGTGGTCTGGAGTTTTGCAGCCAAGATCTGGTAGCCCAATTTGCATAAGCCTTATTAAAATCCTGTCACATTTAATTGACGAGGCACATTATTCAGTCTCAAATTTGCCTTTCTATTTTGCTTCAGTATTCCCCCCCTTCCCTCGACTGCTGTGATAATGATTCTTTGGGGTGCTTATAGCTGCTGTGCACTTCTACATAAACTCGAATATATTTTAGTCTTACGGAGCTATAGCTCTTACTGATGCGTACAACTGCAAAATTTGGTGGAGTGGATGGCTGGAGGAACCCAGGCCTTGTGGCTGGAAGAAGCACAAAACTGCTAAAATAAAGCAAAAGTGATCCCTTCACCCATGTAATCAGGGTAAGCAAAGTGTTAATTCTGAAAAGAGTTGAACTCTGGGGAAACTTACTG